ACATGTGGGGACACGTGGGGACCTATGGGGACACAAGGGGACACAAGGGGTCATATGGGGACACATGGGGTCATGGGGACATGAGGACATATGGGGACATGGGGACATGAGGATGTGGGGACATATGGGGACATGGGGACGTCTGCAGACTTGGGGACATCAGGGGACACGTGTGGACATATGGGGACATGTGGGGACACATGGGGGCACAGAGGGACCCCAAAGACCCCATAGGGACACAAGGGGACACATGGGGATATATGGGGTCATGGGGACATGAGGATGTGGGACATGTGGGGACATGGGGACATCTGCAGACTTGGGGACGTCTGGGGACATCAGGGGACACGTGGACTTATGGGGACACGTGGGGCCATGTGGGGACATACAGGGACATATGGGGCACATGGGGACACGTGGGGGCACAGAGGGACCCCAAAGGCCCCATAGAAACACATGGGGACACGTGGGGACTTATGGGATCACGTGTGACACGTGTGACACGTGTGATGTGGTGTCACACGCTGTGGACACGCGGCGCCGTGCGCTGCTGTGTTGCACCGTGTCACTGCTGCACGCCGCTGCACTGCTGCCTCGTGTTGCACGCTGTGTTGCACGCCGTGTTGCACACCGTGTTGCACGCTGTGTTGTACGCTGTGTTGCACACCACCGCACGCTGTGTTGCACACCGTGTTGCACGCTGTTGCACACCATCGCACGCTGTTGCACGCCACTGCACACCCTTGCACTGTCACACGCTGTTGCACGGTGTTGCACTGTGTCGCACACTTTCACACACCCTTGCACACTTTCGCACACCCTTGCACGCCGTTGCACACCCTTGCACGCCTCCCCCAGCTGCAACGTGACGCTGGCCGGCCACGCAGCGGCGGTGCAGACCCACAGCTGGGCCGGAGCTGGGCAGCAGTTCATCGCCTCCGCCTACCCTGTCAGCCCCTGAGCCCCACGGATCCGCTGCCCCACGGATACAGCGCCCCATAGATCTGCTGCCCCATAGATACAGCGCCCCATAGATACAGCGCCCCATAGATCTGCTGCCCCATAGATACAGCGCCCCATAGATCTGCTGCCCCATAGATCTGCTGCCACATAGATACAGTGCCCCATAGATACAGCGCCCCATAGATCCGCTACCACATAGATCTGCTGCCCCATAGATACAGCGCCCCATAGATCTGCTGCCCCATAGATACAGCGCCCTATAGATAGAGCACCCCATAGATCCGCTACCGCATAGATCTGCTGCCCCATAGATACAACACCTCATAAATCTGCTGCCCCATAGATCTACTGCCCAATAAATGTACTGCCCTATGGATGTATTGCCCCATAGATCCACTGCCCCACAGATCCACTGCCCCATAGATCCAGTGCTCTATAGATCCACAGCCCCATAGATCCCCTGCCCCATAGATACAGCACCCCATAGATGTACTGCCCTATAGATATACCCCCCAATAAATATTCTGCCCTATGGATGTGCTGCCCCATCGATCCGGCGCCCTATGGATGCACTGCCCCATAGATGTACCGTCCTTAGCGTGTCCTGTCACACACACACGTGTCCTTAGCGTGTCCTCCTTACACACACCTGTTCTTAGCATGTCCCTGTCACACATGCGTGTCCTTAGCGTGTCCGTTTGCCCTCACACGTCCTTAGCATGTCCGTGTGGCTGCACACGTCTTTAGAGTGCTTGCAGGGCAGCACATGTGCCCTTGGCGTGTTCTTAGCATGTCCATGTTGCTGAACACACGTCCCTAGCGTGTTCATGCAGCTACACAGCTGTTCTTACTGCGTTTGTTTTTGCTACATGTATGTGCTTAGCATGACTACGTGGTCACGCATGTGGCCTCAGTGTGTCCATACTGCCACGTGTGTCTCTAGCATGACCGTGTGGCTGCACACACATGTGCTTACTGTGTCCACGCTCCTGCACACGTGTCCTTAGCGTGTTCATACTTCTGCACACACACCCATAGCATGTCCATATTCCCGCACACGTGTCCTTAGCATGTCCTCACTCCTCCACACGTGTCCCTAATGTGTCCACATTCCTGCACGCGTGTGCTTAGCATGTCTGTGTGGTCCCACACGTGGCCTCACTGTGTCCATACTGCCATACGCGTCCTTGCCGTGTTCACATTCCCACACACACGTGTCCTTAGCATGTCCGTGCTCCTGCACACACGTGTCCTTGCCGTGTCCGTGTGGCCGCTCACGCATCCCCACACGCCCCACATCCCCCATAGCTGTGCCCCACCCCGCACCACAACGGCTGCTCACCCCACATGTGGCACCAGGCCCCATAAGTGGCGCCAGCCCCACAGATCACAACAGACCCCATAGATGCCATCAGGCCCCACAGATCCCAGCAGGCCCTATAAGTTACACCCAGCCCCATAGATGCCATCAGGCCCCACAAGTTCTGCCCAGCCCCATAGATCACAACAGACCCCATAGATGACAGCAGGCCCAATAAGTTCTGCTCAGCCCCACAGATCTCAGCATGCCCCATAGATCACAGCAGGCCCTATAAGTTCTGCCCAGCCCCACAGGTGACAGCAGGCCCCATAGATACCAGCAGGCCCCATAGATGACAGCAGGCCCCACAAGTTCTGCCCAGCCCCACAGATCACAACAGACCCCATAGATGACAGCAGGCCCAATAAGTTCCGCTCAGCCCCACAGGTGACAGCAGGCCTCATAGATGCCAGCAGGCCCCATAAGTCGCCCCCAGCCCCACAGATCCCAGCAGGCCCCTCAGGTGACAGCAGGCCTCATAGATGACAGCAGGCCCCATAAGTTACACCCAGCCCCACAGATGCCATCAGGCCCCACATCTGCCATAGGCCCCACAGATCCCAGCAGGCCCCATAAATTACACCAAGCCCCATAAATGCCAGCAGGCCCCATAGATGTCATCAGGCCCCACGGATCCCAGCAGGCCCCATAAATGACAGCAGGCCCCACAAGCCGCCCCAGCCCCACAGACCCGCCGGCCCCACGGCCGCCCCGCCCCGCCCCACGCGGCCGCCCCACTGCAGGCTGCGGGCCGGAAGCGGCGCCGCGCTGTGGGGCGCAGCTCCGGGGCCGAGGGGGGGCGCGGCGGGAGGACGCGGCGCGGGGCCGCCCCACAAACGGCCGCCCCACAAACGGCCGCCCCACGAACGGCCGCCCCACGAGTGGCCGCGGCCCCGGGCGCCATGGGGCCGCCCCAGTGCCGGGCGCTGGCCGCCATCCGCGCCGAGGTGCGGCGGCACGAGGAGGCGAAGCGCTGCCTGAACGCCCTGCTGCGCCTCTGCGACGGCGTGCGCGACCCGCGGCTGCGGGGCGGAATCGGCGCCCAGCTCAGAGCCCTGCAGGGTACGGACGGACAGACGGACCGACGGACGGACGGACGGGGGGCGGGGGGAGGGAGGGGGCGGGCGGACGGACGACAGGGGGAGGATGGACGGACAGACGGACGGATGGAGAATGGAGGGACGGACGGACGGATGAAGGGATGGACGGGGGGGACGACGGACGGACAGACGGAGGGTGGATGGATGGATGGATGGACAGATGGACAGGTGGAGAATGGATGGATGGAGGGATGGACGGGGGGACAACGGACGGACAGACGGACAGATGGAGGGTGGATGGATGGACGGACAGACGGACGGACAGGGGGGAGGATGGACGGACAGACGGACGGATGGAGAATGGATGGGTGGATGGACAGACGGACGGATGGACAGGGGGGACAACGGATGGACAGACGGACAGATGGAGGGTGGATGGATGGACAGACAGGGGGAAGAATGGACAGACAGATGGACAGATGGAGAATGGATGGATGGAGGGATGGACAGACAGATGGATAGATGACAGGGGGGAGGACAGACGGACAGATGGAGGGTGGATGGATGGATGGATGGACAGGGGGTAGAATGGACAGACAGACGGAGGGGGGGCACATGGATGGATGGACGGACAGATGGACAGATAAAGGATGGATAAAGGGATGGACAGACGGACAGAGGGGGGATGGATGGACAGATGGATGGTGGATGGGTGAACAGGGGGGAGGACAGATGGACAGACGGACAGATGGAGGGTGGATGGATGGATGGACAGATGGACGGATAGAGGGGGGATGGATGGACAGATGGACAGGGTGCAGGGATGGACGGACAGATAGACGGATGGAGGGGTTGCATGGATGGATGGGGAGAGGATGGACAGATGGATGGACAGATGGGGGTGAATGGATGGATGGACGGACAGACAGGTGGACAGATGGAGGGGGGATGGATGGACAGATGGACAGATGGAGGAAGTGTAAGGATGGATGGACAGACAGGTGGACAGATGGGGGGGATGGATGGGTGGACGAGGGGAGGATGGATGGACAGACGGACAGGGCGCATGGATGGATGGATGGAGGGGGAGCTTGGAGGGACGGGAGGAGAACGGACAGACAGACGGACAGATAGAGGGGGGGTGGATGGATGGACGGACAGATGGACAGATGGAGGGTGGATGGGTGGAGGATGGATGATGGACAGACGGACAGATGAGGGGGGAGGGACAGATGGATGGACAGATGGGGGGATGGATGGACAGACAGATGGACAGATAGGGGTGCATGGATGGATACGTGGAGAATGGATGGACAGACAGACAGCAGGGGGGGATGGATGGGTGGGGGGGAAGTTGGACAGACGGACGGACAGTTGGAGGGGCGGGTAAATGGAAAAGGGGAGGATGGATGGACGGACAGA